TAAGCTACTTGCCTAGTGGGGTTTATTCTTTCTTGTGTTTTCCTTGTTCTTCTAATCTTCCTCTTCTCTCTATAGGATTCCCTTAAGTATCTTCTGAAATGCTGATTTGGTTGTCATGAACTGCTTTAGTTTTTGTTTATGGTGGAAGGTTTTCTTTCTCCTTCAATTAGGAAGGATAGTTTTATTGGATACAGTAATCTCAGTTGATAGCTGTTTTCTTTCAGGGCTCAACATATATCATTCCATGCTTTCCTTGCATTTAGAATTTGTAATTAGAAATTTGTTTTACAAATAGATTTGCCTTTACATGTGACTTATCACATCTCTTTTTGCAGCTTTCAATATTATTTTCTTGCATGTTTATTGTTTTAATTATATAATGTCAGAATGTGGATTTTTTTTCTGATCTTACTTGTTTGGTGTTCTGAAAGCCTCCTGTTCCTGGATGACTCTCTCTTTTCTGAGATTGGGGAAATTTTCTGCTATTATATTATTGAAGAAGTTAACTGTTTGGTTACTAGGTCTTCTTCTATACCTATAATTCATAAGCTTGGTCTTTTGATGTTGGCACAGCGGTCTTACATGCTTCGTTTAAATATTCTTACTACATTTCATTGTGTTCCACTGATGGATCTAATTCCTCTAATTTATCCTTAATCCCTAATATTGTATTTACAACACTATTCGTTCTAATCAGTCACACACTCTCTTTCTTGCATTTAACAAAATTTAGTCTCTTTTTAATTTTATTTTTAATTTGTTATATTATTATAACTGGGGGTGTATTATAGTGCGTACAAAAGTTTTTGAATTCACTCTGTCCATCATTTTCTTTTATCCCCCCACTACCAATTCCTGTAATAGTTTTAACTGTTCTTTTTATTCCATTTTCATACTTGAGTACATTATATTTCCACTACCTTCAGCCTCTTACATTTTCCTTATGTCCCCTCCCCTCTATGTCTTCCCCCCTTCCACTGGTATCAACGTATCAACCCCCAGTCAGGACCTGATTTGCCTTCCAGTTTTCCATTTCTGAAAAAAAGATATTTTGATTTGTTTAAGATAGCTGTACAGGGACTTTCTTGTGACATTTCCACCTATGTATATATTATAGCTCAAATTGGTTCATGGCCTCTATTTTTCTCTTTTATACTTAGTCCCCTTCTTATGGTGATTTCAACAGGTTTCATTTTCTATATTGGTTCTTATTTAGAACGTATATCACCCATATTCACCTTCTTAACTTCCTTCTTTACCCTCTTTCTCCCAGTAGTCACCTCCCCTTAGCATAATCACTTTTCATAATGCTGCTTATATTTGTGTTGTGTCTATATCCCACATATGAAAGAAAATACGTGGCCTTTGTCTTTTTGAGCCTGGCTTCCTTCACTTAACATGATGTCCTATAACTGCATTTATTTTTCCAAAAAACCACATGGTTTCATTCTGCCTTATGAATTAATAAAACTACTGTATGTAAATATTACATTTTCTTAATCCATACATAAGTACTGGGTCATCTTGGCTGTTTACCTAGCTTAGCTGTTGTGAATAATGATATCATAAACATGGGTGTGCAGGTGGCTCACACCTGACTTATATTCTTTCCTGACTATCCCTAGAAGAGGAATTGCTGGGTCATATGGCAAAAGCTTTCCACTTTTTTCCATAATGGATGTACTAATTAACAATCCCATCAGCACTGTATGATGGTTCTATTTTCTCCACTTCTTTGCCAACTTTTATTGTTGTTGTTTATGTTCTTGATAGTAGGCGTTCATTTGACCATTCCTTCATTGGGTCATTGATTTTAGGAGAGTTTAGATTTTGAGCTCCCTGTAAATTCTTGTTATAATTCTCTTGTCAGATATATAGCTATCAGAGATTTTCTCCCATTCTGTGGAGAACCTTTTCAATTAGAAACCATTTCTATTGTTGTGCAGAAGCTTTTTAATTTCATGTAGTTCCATTTATTTGTCAATCCTTTCTCTTAGTTGCTGAGCCATTTGTGTTGTACTGAGGAAGTCATTGCCTGTGCCTATTAATTCCACTGCATTCCCTGCTCTCTCCTACACTAACTTCCATGTTTCAGGTCTTAAATTAAGATCCTTAATCCACTTTGAGTTCATACTTGTACAGGGTAAATGATATGGATCTAGTTTCAGTTTTTGCATGCAGATATCTAGTTTTCCCAGCAGCATTTGCTGAAGAGATTGTTTTTCCCACTGTATATTTTGGGCATGTGGATGTGGCTGTGTGGATTCACATCTGGGTCTTCCATTCTGTTCCACTGATCTTCATGTCTTTTTTTCTTATTCTTACCAATACAATGATGTTTTTATTTCTATGACTCTGTAATATAGCTTGGAGTTGGATATTGTGATACCTCTAGTATTGTTATTTTTGCTCAGTATTGTCTTGGCTATCTGCAGTCTTTTGTGCTTCCAAATGAAATTTAGGGTTGAGTTTTCATTCTCTGTGATGAATGTCAAGGGAATTTTGGTGGGGATTGTATTGAACATGTAGATTGCTTTTGGTAGTGCACCCCTTTTCACAATATTGATTCTGCCAATTCACGAGCATGGGAGATTTTTCCATCTTCTGTAGTCTTCTTCAGTTTATTCTTTAATGGTTTATAGTATTAATTGTAGAGGTTTCTTGCTTCCTTTGTTAAGATTATTCCTAGGTATTTTATTTTTTGAGGCCACTATAAATGGAATTATTTTCATATATTCTGTTTTAGACTGTTGATTGTTGGTATATAGAAAGGCAACTAATTTTTGTAAATTCATTTTTATCCTGCTTCTTGCTGAAGCTGTTTATGATGTCTAGGAGTTTTTTGGTGGGGTTTCCAGGTATTATAGGCATAAGATCATATCATCTGCAAATAGGGATAGCATTATTTCTTATTTTCCTATTTGAATTCCTTTTATTTCTCTTTCCTGTCTTGTTATAGCTAGGATTTCCAAGACTATGTTGAATAGTTTTGGACTTTAGGGTTAATGATTTCAATTTTTTTCCCATTTAGTAAGATTGCTGGCTACAGGCTTGTCATATTTTTATTATGTTGAAGTACATTCCTTTTATTCCAAGTTTCATCAGAGCTTTTATCATGAAAGAATGTTGAATTTTATCATAGGCTTATCATGTGTTTTTGTCTTTGCTTATGTTAATATGCTGTATTACACTTAATGTTTTGCATGTGTTGAGCCATCCCTGTGTCCTTGGTATGAAGCCAACTTGGTCATGGTGTTTGATCTTTCTGATATGTTGTTGGATTTGGCTTGCATTCTTTTATTGAGGATTTTTGCATCTATGTTCATTAAAGAGATTGGACTGTAGTTCTTTTTTTTTTTAATGCCCTTGTCCTGCTTGGAGATGAGTGTAATCCTGGCTTCATAGAATGTTGTGCTGTTTCCTTTCCTATTTCATGGAAAAATTTGAGAAGTATTGATGTTAGCTCTTCTTTAAAGATCTGGTAAATTTCAGTAGTGAATCTGTAGGGTACTGACTTTTCTTTTTTGGGAGACTCCATTGCTGCTTCAATTTCATTCCTTGATATGGATCTATTTAGCTAATTTGTATTCTCTAGGTTCAATTCTGGAGGGTCATTTGTTTCTATAATTTTTTCCATTTTTTCTAGATTTTCAAATTATTTAATATAGTTTTGCAAAGTAATCCTTAATGATGGCCTGAATTTCCTTGGTGGTGTTGTAATGTCCACTTTTTAATTTAATTTTATAAATATGTGTCTTTCTCCACCATCTTATGCAGATTTGCTAGAAGTTTATCAATCTTATCTATTTTTTTGAAGAACCAGCTTTTTGTTTCATTGATTATTTGTATTGGTTTTTTTGATACTCTTTCATTGATTTTGGCCCTTATTTTTATTATTTCTTTCCTTCTGATAGTTTTGGGCTTTATTTGGGCTATAAAATTTTTCACTTCTGAGATTTTAATTTGTTTTGCTTTTTTTTCAGAATTTCTGTATCTTTATTGAATTCCTTTTTTTAATATCCTGCATTTTCTTCTTTATTTCATTCAACTGTTCTGTTAGTCATTTATATATATCCCCTCTGAATTCATTCAGCTGCATACACATATCCTCTTTAATATCATTGACCATTCTTGTTATTGTTTTGTTGTTTTAATTCATTGTTTGAAATTTCTTCCTCATCACTATCATCATTTCAGTACTGTATAGTTTTTGAGCTTGAAGGAGACATATTGACTTGTTTTATCATGAAACTTGTGTTTCTAAACTGAGATTTATGTATCTGGGGATGAGTTTTTGGTTGGAATTTTCAGTCTTTTGTGTCCTTTTATTTAGGAATTCTCAAAGACTTTTTAAGACTGTGTAGTGGCCATGTTGTGGTGTTTTATCACCTCAGCTCTGGGTGTCTGATCAGCTCTACTTCAGTTCCCTCTCCTTGTGTCAGTGGCATGGAACCTGCCACATATTAGGAAGCTGGGAGATAGGAAGGGTGATTCCATGTCTTTCAAGGATTATTCATTGTCTTGAAAATTGTCATTTAATATATTTTGTCTGTTTTCTTCAGTCCGTTTCTGGTAGGAAGGTAAATCAGGTACATCATCTTGGCTAGAAGCAGATTTCAATAGAGCCTCAGCACATTCTACAAATTGGCTAGATTGCTCCTTGTCACCCTCTGCCTAACTGCTTCCAATTAATCCTTCATTTACTAATGTTCCCTTCTCTTCCTCTGGGTACCTTCCTGATCTTAGTTTAGGTCATTTTCTCTTAGATGATCACAGAGATCTATTGTCTGAACTTATCTGCCTTTGTAATGGAAATTTTATTTCACTTCCTTCCCCACTAGAGGTTAAACATCTGTTTTGTCTGCAGAGCTTAGTGTGATGTGTTCCACATTGTAGGTTTGTGTACATTTGTTTGGTATATGAAAGAGTGAATGTGAAAATGTATAGCACTCCATATAAGAAAGTGCTCATATGTGTTATTTCTTTTCTACCTGATATAGATTCTGGTAGTTTATTGAAAATCCAGGATACAGTCCATTCATATAAAAAATTAATACATCTTAAAAGTAGTCACTGTGAAGTACTTAACAGAAAAATTAAAAAAATGGAAAAAATGATTAGTGCATTACAAAAGGAGCTATCAGAAACTGAGCAAGAAAAACTAGAACAAGAAAAAGAAGTCTGCAATTTGAGGTATGATATCCTAGTTTTAAATAAATGTGTGAGGGCTGGGGTTTAAGTCAGTGGTAGGGTGCTTGCTTATCCTGTGTAACGTCCTGGGATTGCTCCCCAGCTGTGGAAGTCAAAGTTTAAATTTTGAGTCAGGCACAGTGGTGCTCACCTGTAATCCCAGCACTTAGGAGGCTGAGGTGAGAGCACCAGGAGTTTGAGGCCAACCTAGCAGACATTGTCTCAAAAAACAACAAAAAGGAAAGATTCAAAGAATATGTTTTATACTACAAATACATAGGGGAATTTCTGTGATTGCTGACTTGCGCTTTGGGGTTTAGCCAGGGAGAAAAGTTCTTATTCTTATGGAATATGAAATCTTGAGACTAATTAAACAAGTTGTTAACTGTGAATTCTTCCAATAATTCAGACTATACCATTCCAAAGCAAAATTTTAATGGTATAGAAATCTGGTAATTTATTTACCAAATACAATCTGGTATTAGTTTTTTTTTGTTACGTTTTGTGCAAGGAACATTGTTATATAATTATTTTCTATATTTACTTTGAATAAATTCTTCCAGATAGAAATGTTTGGCTAAAATATAGGAATATTTTAAATATCTTTTTGTCAATTCTTTTTTCTAAATTGTTGTCAAGAAAGTTTGTATTAATGTCCATTTCCACTAGAAGAGTATGAAATGGCCATTTATATCATCCTATAAAACTTTAAGAACATTTACAGTTCTTTGGTGTGTAAGGATCAAATCCAGGGCTGAGCAAGAGTGATAGTTATCATCTTTAATACTAATATTCATGAGATAAAAAGTAGAGTAGAAAGAGTTTACCGATTAGTTTTTCAGCAATACATAAAATTAATTCAAATTTCTATGGTGAAAGGACCATAATTCTCTATTATTTAATTACTTATTGGATCTTGTCCTGTTCCAAAGAAATATTATTATTGCTTATAAAATGCATAACAACATGCAGTATGTGCTGACAATGTAAAAGTAAAGAATTATAAAAGTGGGATAGCACACTTAGCCTAAGCTTGGACTACAGGAATGCACTGATATTTGTTGGATGGAAAATATCTGAGGTTGAGATCTCATATTTTAAATTCCTTTCAGGGATTTCTGTCATTTCATCAAGATAACACTATACTTATGGAATCTATAACTTTTTTGTAAGAAATAATTTAAAAATATGAGTTAAATTTAAACTATGTGTTTTCATTGAGATGTAATTATATAAGGAATGCATTTTACACGTGCCACTTCACTGCATAAGTTTGAAGTTCTTTTCTGTGCTATGTATCTGGGTTACTAATGACAGAAATTTACTAATTAACTTAATTTTCATTATTGCCTTTCAAGTATATGTGTCATTTGGAAGAGAGTGGAGTGAGAAATTAAAAACATGAGAAATAGGAAGAAAAAATAGTAAATATTAAGTAACATAGAAATTCAATTAGGATAATAATTCAACATATGAAATTAGATTACAAAAAGAGCCTTTCATTTTATTATAAAACGAATTTCATTGCAAGCATATTTAACTGTAGATTTGCCTTAAAACACGAAGAGGAGAAAAGAAGAAATGCTGTTTGGCTTTGTGAAAAAATTAAGGAACAGTTAATAGAAAAAGAAGAGGACTATAATAAAGAAGTTGAAATGAAACAACAACTTGACATGTGTGTTAGAACACTGGATATGGAGCTGAAGACTGTGAGAAATAATTTAACTAAGGTAAATTAATATTTCTACAATTTCAGAATTTATGTCAACTTACTTCATCAATATTACTTATCCCATATAGATAGATAGATAGGTAGATATAGTAATGCATTGTTAATAATGGGTATACATTGTGAGAAGTGTATTAAAATTTTGTGACTGAGCAAACATCACAATTGTGTGCTTACACAGACTTAAGACATCTCCCTCAACAGGAGGCAATACAGTCTTACAGGACCACTACTGTTTATGCAGGCTGTTGTCGACTGAACCTTGTTATGTTGTGTATCATTGTATTATTAGGTTTAAATCAAAATATTTACCCTCTATAAAAATGAATTAGCACATTTATAGCTAAAATTATTTGTTGTAAATCTTGGTAACAGATAGATGAAGAAATCGAAAGTAAGTGGGTTTGAATCACTAGCACAATTATTAATTTAGGCATTTTATATCAAAATGCAGATTAATTAGCTTTGAAACTTTAATGAAACAGGCTAAATGCTTTGTAAAGAACTTTTAATTCACAATACTCTGTATTCAAGGACAGTTTTTGGTTTTGAGAAATTTAGTCATCATTTATGTGATGAAAGTTTGACTAATACCTATGACCAAAAGTTTCTTGTGTTTCTAAAAGGTGCTCTATTTCAGTTTTTGTTTTTAAATTTTCTTCTCTTAATAAAGTTCTAGGACCCCTAATGGTGTGAGTCTAAAAACTTAATTCAGTGTATCTCTAGGCTTTAGAGGAACGAAATGATACCCAGAGAAAGCTTTCCCAAGAACAGAATGCCAGAATATTACAAGATGAGATTCTGGCAAATCACCTCTGCAAGGAAAAGGAGATAGAAATGGAGACAGAGAAAATGAGTGCTGAGGTATTTTCTTTAGTCATTTTCAAATATGTGTATATGCATTTCTGTGTACATGTTTTCAATTTGTATTAAAATTCCAAGGAGGTTATTGTGGAATTACAACCCTGTGTGCTTATACATACTATACATACTTTCAGGTTGGTAACAGTTTTTCCCCACTGGAGAACGTACTGCTTTTAACTCATGTCAACTTGCCTTCACCAGTTACTTAGGGACATTCTCAATGGCCTCATCCAAGGAGAACACTTTTAACATTTTCCATAGGAATTGATTTTTTGAGGATCTCAAAACCCTTGCTAATAACAATCAATGTTCAAGTTTGACACAATCACTCCACACCTTCATATGTTAATGTGGAGGTTTGCTTACTTTCCCTTCAAGGTAAGAAACAAAAGTGTAGATAGCAGAGATAATAATTTGACTGTCATCTCCTTCCTTTTGAGAAGAGTTACATTTTGCTCCTAGTTATCTCCTATTTTAGTACAAAGAGCCCCTGAAAATAATGATATTCCCTAACATATACTTAGATAATAAGTATAAGAATGGGCTACCACCATTCTTCATCCCAGGACCAAAGACTTTGTTTTTATGTTTTGCTTTTTCTATACTGGGGATGGAACCCATGCCTTTATGGATGCTATGCAAGTGCTCTACCATTGAGACATGTCCATAACCTAGGATCCATGTATACAGAGTTCAAAATTTCCAGACAGCTTGTAAACAAAGATCCTCATTCCTTCTTATAAGAGCAAATGTTTTAGATTATCTTAAAAAGTATGTGAAAACTTAAGTCAATTCCTTTTCAATTTTATTATTGTTACTATTATATTATTAATTATTATTATTTTAGCAGTACTGGAATTTGCTCTTGTTTTTTTGGAGACAGGCTCTCATATTTTGCCCAGACTGGCCTAGACTGTGATCCTTTCATTTTATGCTTCCCACTGACTTTGTAATGACAGGTGTGCACCATCATGCCCGTCTTTTTATCCATTGAAATGGGGTCTTGCAAACTATTTTGCCTGGTCTGGTCTGGGACTGCCATCTTCCCAAGTAGCTAGAATACAGGTATGAGCCATGGGGTCCAGGACCCATTTCATTTTAGACATAATATAGAAGCAGAGAAGTAGAGCAAGTATAGTATTTATATCCAAAATGAAGAAATAGGAAAAGTTTCCAGATTCTGCCATTGGATTTTTAAAAAGCTACTTTATTGAGCTGTAATAGACAAACCTATAGCTCAGTGTTTCTTAATGTGTTCACAGAGTTATGTCACCATTACCACAGTCAATTTTGGAACATATTCATCATTTGAAGACAAATTCTCAAATCCTTCAATCTTCCCCAGTCCTAGAAACTCACCCATCTGTTTCTTTGTCTATATAATTTCCCTAGCCTGGATATTTCATATAAATGTAATGTACAATATGTAGTCATTTTAGACTGGAACTTTCACTCAGCATGATATTTTGGGGATCACATGTGTTGTAGCAAGTACCAGTACTTTATTTCTTTCTATTGTTTAGTAGTATTCAATTGTGTGGGTATTCCACTTATCCATCACCAGTGGATTGGGTCTTGGATTAATACTCCTTCCTGGCTATAATTAGTAATTTGTCAGGTATTTTGTGAACATGTTTTGATTTCCTATCTACTGGATTTTGATTTCCTGTCTAATTGGGCTGATTTCTCCATCTCTCTGCATTTGACTATGATGTCCTTTCTGTATTGTCAGTTTTTATTTTTGGCCTCATTTATTCAGAACTGGCTCACAATTTACTTTTTCACAAGGCATTGACTGACTCTTCTGATCATTCTTGACCTTACTCTTGTTGTTGCCTTGTCTTTGCTCTTACATTACTGTTTCTGTTTTTTATGTATAAATTTACCTAAAGTGCTATAATATATACTAATATGCATGGCTTCTATTTTTGAACAAATTGGAAATATTTTTGCTTAACATTTGTTAGAATAAAATAAAGTCTTTCATACCATTATTGTGTATTCAGAACAGGGATTTACATCTTTCTAATAACTTACCAAGTAAAAAGTTCAGGCTCTATCTTTTCTGATGTGCCATTCCAAATCACCTCCATCTCTCCATGAGGGCCTGGACAAAGCAGTTTAACGTGAACTCTTATTGTAAATGAAGGAATTTGGTAATCTACTATTTAGGACAGTGGCTTAGCCTATCACTGATGGTCATGTCAGTTACATACTACTTAATACAGGAGGTGACATGTGCACTGAGCTCTATGATGATTGTTTACAAGTAGTACTGGGAGCTAGTAAGCTATAACTTATAGTGAGTTGACAAAAAAATGTTAATTAGTGGAATTGATGATAGTTCCATGAAGTTCTGAATATGTAGCCTTGGATACACAGTTCCATTTGCTCCCATTATTTCCTTTATCATGCCACATATCTAAAAGATCAAATTGTATTAGAATACAAAATTCAATAATGATACTAATACTAGTAGCAATTTTATACATAGGTCTCTATGTGCCCTATACTCATATAAGGTTATACTCCCTAATCTTATCTCACCAACCATCCAGTAGAGGTAGATGGTATTACTATCTCCATTTTACCAGTGAAGAAGCTGAGACACAGAAATGTTTACTTGCTCAAGATCACATAGCTGGTGACTGTTGGAGTTGGGATTCAGATTCAGCATTCTGGCTTTTGTGCAAATACCAACTGTCACAATGTTCAATGAGGCATACAGTTGTCGCTTTAAGATCTGTGCTAATTATTATCATTCTTATCATACTTACGGTCATTGATACATATGAATTTTTCAAATCATATTTGGCAAGATGGTGCTTGGAATACAAAATAAAATTCTTACCATAGGGAATTTGCTCTCTGCCCACATTTTACCAATTTTATAAATTTGAGTATTTGCTAAAATATAATTTAAAAATAAAAAATAATATGTTTTAGTTTTAGAACATGGATAACTAAGCTTTTCTGCAAGTGTTACCTTAGGCTAGTGTTACTTTAGGCTGTGTGGAACGTTGGATTCCTGTTGCAACAAATCAGTGAACTCTGCAGTTTCAACACAATGGTTCTCAGTTTATTCTGCAGAAGAAGGGATGTGGCTCTGTTCCACTGAATCTTACCTTCAAAATTCAGGATGGGATGCACACATTTTATGCCACTATTTGTAAAGTTTTTTTCTTTTTTAGCTGCAAGAATTATGGGATCTACAGACAAAGACTGGACAACATGCTGTGCAGATGCAAGAACGTGTGAAAAAGTATGAATACTTAAGTGTTCACGAAGCATATAGTCAATATAGATTGAGAATTATATCATCCATGGTAACATGTACATTTATGTGAAGGCTGGGAAAAAATTTACCTTTATGTTACTTGAAATGCATACCTTAGGCCTGAGGGTGGACCTCAGTGGTATAGTGTGTTATTTGTATATGTAAGTCCAAGGTTCAATCCCAGCCCCACATAATAGATAAGCAAACAAATAAGCAAATGACAGGAAGAAATGCATGCACAAAACACAGAAATGATACATTTACCAAATCATCTACTTTTCAAATTGTTATGAATTGAAGTAGTTTCAGATGTTTTTCAGAAATTATGTGGTGATTTTAAAATTGACATGTGAGAATAATTATATTAAACTATACATTTTAGGCTTCAACTTGAAAATTACAAGTTAAATACTACAAAACAAAAGGGAAAAACAAAAATTGAAGAACTGAAGAAAAATTTGTTAAGTAAAAGTGTGGTAAGTCCTTCCACATTAATTTCTATCATAGTGATGTGGAAATTTTCTTGTCCTAGAATTAGAACATAGGAATATTTCAGGCAGCATAAAAATCTCATTGATAAAATATTTGTTGTTTTCAGGCTGACTCTACTTGCTACTAGTAGAGCATTTCCTCTTTATAAAAGTTTAGGTGACTCATAAAATTAATGAAATAGGTACTGATATATTAATTAAAAGGTTCTGATAGTCTAAAAGCCATTGTACAATATTTTTATACATTCATCCATTGAAGTACAAGTAGGTTCTTTCAACTACTGTGAATAACGCTGCTATGGACATTAGTGTAGAACTATGTGTTTGAGTCTCTGCTAACAGAACAGTTAAAAAATAATTTTGATTTAAAACTATTTTCAAAGAGTGAAGATGACACATTGGGCCTCCATGTGCACTCCCTTTGAATCCCTTTTGACTTTCTCTTTTTATAAGTCATTTCTGCTTCCATCTACCTTCTTGCCTAAGCCATCCTAATGTTTTAATTGTTTTATTTTTTCTTAAATGACAGAAACTGACAGTTAGTGGTAATATCTGCCAGTTATTGACATAAAGCACCTCAAAAGTCAGCGTCTCAAAGTAACATTTATTATTTTGTTTCCAATCTGCAACTTTAGCAAGAATCAGTGAGGCTGATTCTTTACATCCCCTCTTGGCCTCAGCAGAGGTTACTTGAAGCAAGGGACTAGATGCATTTAAGCCTTGCTCATTCACATTTCTGGCGGGTGATGTGGGTTTGAACACCACCAATCCTTTTTTGAATAAGATTTCTTCGAGATAGAGTCTTGTGAACTATTATCTCAGGATGACCTCAAAATGTGATCCTCCTGACCTCTGCCTTCTGAGTGGTTAGGATTACAAGCATTAGCTATGTTGCAGTCAGTACCACAAAAAATACTTTTAAGACTGATTGTTTTTTACTTTGAGGAATGACTTTGGATATCAATGGGGATTGTACTAACTCTGTAGATAGTTTTCAGAAGCCATTTCACAATATTAATTCAACAATACATTAAAAAAATGATCAAACTGGTTTCATTCCAGGGAGGCAAGAATTGTTCAATATATGCAAATCAATTGACATAGTATAGAATATAAACAGAATAAAGGACAAATATCACATGATCATATTAGTAGATACAGATAAAAACCTTTCAAAAAATTCTACATCCATGTATGATAAAAGCCTTGAAGAAACTTGTAATAGAAGGAGTATATGTCAACATAGCAAAGACGAAACATGACAAACCTATAGCCATCATTGTCTTAAGTGGGGAAAATGAAACAGCTTTTTCTGAAGTCAGGAGCAAGACAAATGTTTCCACTCTCCCCACTCTCATTGGATATAGTGCAGGAATTCTTATTCAGATCAATAAAGCAAGAGAAAAGAAACAAACGGAACACAAATGAGTCAAATTATCCCCATTGCCAGATGACATGGTAACGTTCACTAAAGACACCATGAAAAAACCCTTAGATTTGATAAATACTTCCAGCAAAGTAGCAGTATGCAGAATCAACATTTAAAAATCAGCAAATTTTCTATGTAACAATAATGAGCTGTCTGAGAAAGAAATCCTAGAAAATAATCCCATTCTCAAGAGCCTCAAAAAGTTAAATATCTAGGAATAAACCTAACTAAGGAGGCGAAAGACCTCTATAATTGAAACTATAAAACATCAAAGAAAGAAGCTGAAGAAGGCACTAAAAAGTGGAAAGACCACCATGTTTGTGGATTGGAAAAATTAATCGTTGTGAAAATGGCTATACTACCAAAATCAAATTTTCTTATTCTTTATTTTATGAAAAGAATCAGATGATTATAATGGATCAGATCATTAAATTTGTCTAATGGGATATATCATTGATCTTTACTGGAAAGCATTACTTCTTAGCATGCAATTCAAATATTAAAAACTCGAAATCCAGGAAAAGAAATTGACCTTTGAATCAGTATTTATATGATTCACTAATTAGAGTTTTATTTTCAAAGTCTTATTTTGAGAGACATTTATTGATACAGGTCTATGTAACTCCACATAATGTCCCTAAAATTAATTCAGAATCATGGGAGGTACACTTGGGGAATGTGGCAAGGTTCTTTCTACTAAGAGGTAATGTAGTGTCATTTTAAAACACAAGAAGAAAAAAGTGAAAGTCTAAGCTCAAATATTTTGTGACAGATCAAGCTAATCATCTTCTTGTGACTCTTGATGAATTTTAATTTGTTAACTGAGTAATTTATTGGACCACATTCTAAAAGTTAATATAGGTTATATATTATTGCAATGGAATTTATGTAAAAATTTGTTACTGGTCTTCTATTAGACTTTTCTTAGTCTACTTTCTTCATTATAAAGTATATTACTTATTCATACAGGATGATGAACTTGTAAAAAACTGGAAATTGCATCTTTAAAATGTCTACATCTAGAAAAAGAAAATCAACGTCTTCATCAGGAGTTACTGTCTGAAACAACTGCTAAAAAGGATTGTGAAACACTAGAGAAGAATATAATGACATTGAAACAAAAGTGGTAAACCTCAAAACTTATATGAAAAACAATATGTTAGAACGTGGTCAAGTAGAACAATATAAGCAGAATATTGAAGAAGGAGCAAAACGGGATTTAGTAAAAAAATTGAGACAAGTCAATCTATTTTTGCAGGTTAATTTATTTGCCTATAATATATTTTAATTCTTCCAAAAGCAAATTACAATTTGGATGTATAGATTTTATGTTTCCTCTACTCCTCTACTTCCCTTATTGCACCTTGTTTTATAGATTTCTGGAAGGAAGATGACATCTGATTCTCCTCTTAAGTCTTTTCAGTTTCCATAATTATATTTAAATTGAACTTTCAGAGTGATGCTTTTCAGTAGAGAAAAAAATTATTTTTAAGACTAATTAGGATAAAATGAGACTACTAGGAGGAAAATAAAAAATAGTGATGTTAAAATAATACCAGAGATTAAAATGTTGTTCTTTAGATGGATTGTTCAGCTTTTAAAAACTTGAATTGATTTTTTGTTTTATTAATTATGACATGACATGAGTACTAACATAAGGATGACTTGGGACTGGAGATGCAGCAAAGTATGAGACCAGGCACTAAGCATGTGGGAGGCCTGGGTTTGATCCCCAGAACTACAAACGTAAAATAATTCATTTTTTTATAATTCACATTTAATGCAGTTAACATTCATCATAAATACTTTAAATGACAGCATCTATTTTCACATATTTAAGATTGCTCTCTGAATCACTGACTTAGTGTGACACAATAATTATTTGGGTTATAATTATTCTAAGTATATATCTTTTTTATTTTGTTTAGACACAGGCAGCATGTCAAGAAAAGTTAGAGCAATTCAGAGAGACACAAAATGCTTCAACAAGAAGTCACATGGAACTCAGAATTAGCATTTAGAATCTGAACTGTCTACAATGAAAAGTCAACTGGACTTTAGTAAAATGGAGGTTGAAAACTATAAGCAACTCTACCTAGAAGAAGTCAAAATTAGAAAAATCACTGTCAAACAAACTACACAAGTAAGTCTAAACAATCATAGAACTTAAATGTGATCATTAATTTCTATTAGTTTTTTAAGCTAAGTATGATTAGAACTTTATCATCAAGACAATTATATTGATATTAACTTACTGGTCAGTATTCTCCAAAATAGAAACATTAACAAGTTTAACTATGCCTGGAAGATTACAACCTAAACCCAAAGGGTCATGTGCTACTTCTCCTCCTCCTTCAGGCACACTATAGCATTTGGTAAATTTACTTTCAATGATTATGATCTTTGGTGTTACCACTAGAAGTTCCTGGACAGAAACTGTCCTTCAGTTTTTCTACATAAAGGCAGGCTTGTGCTAAAAAGACTGCCATAGTATGAAGAAAGGATAATTTGCAAAGTGGTAAAAAAAATAATTCTTTGTTCATTGTGGGGAGATGTGACAGATAGAAAGGGCTTATTCCACCTTGGATACCTGGTGACTGTGTGATGAGATCATTGCCTGTGGAGCTGTTTTAGCTGATTTTGATCAAAATTCAGCTATCTCATTTTGCTCTACAGGTTGCTGCTCTGAATTACTCCTCAGTTCCAAATACTTAATTTCTTCCACGTACTGAGGAAATATAACAATCATGAAAACACTTGTCTGAGT